GGATGGATGGATGGATGGATGGATGGATGGATGGATGGATGGATGGATGGATGGATGGATGTTTTCAGGTTGTAATTAATAAATGAAGTTTGTAACGAGGTGTCTTTGTGCTGGGTCAGGTCCGGTCGTCCCTCAGTTCTACAGTATGAACCGGCCTCAGCCTCGCCAGCAGACCCCTCAAGTGGGGGGGTCGCTGCCATACCGCCGCCCCCCCTCTGTGACTGGGCAGCCAATTGTAATGCAGAACAACATCAACGGGGGTCCCCACTACAACCAGAGCCCAGGTGACTTCTGTCGACAGGATGGAATAACCTGTCAACCTTCAGAGGTGCATGCTGGGAACTAAACTCAACTTTCAATGTGTTGCAGCCTCTCCTCCACCCCCCTCCCTCCTCCAGTTCACCCCTCAGCTTCCTCTCATGGGTTTTGTTGCTCGAGTTCAGGAGTCCAGTAAGTCTACCTTCGATCTACATCTACACTTCCTTTGGCCTGTGTGTTTGTTGTTTTTATGACTGCTGGTCTCATTCTGGTTTCCAGTTTCAGACCCCACCCCTCCCACACACCCATCTCCTGAGAGCCAGCCCAGACCAGAGGAGCCTCTATCCACCCGACAGCTGCTGGAGGAGGAATCAGCAGTGGTGGAGTACAGTGATCCATACGCTGAAGAAGATCCACCATGGGCCCCCAGAAGCTACCTGGAGAAAGGTGTGCCACACAAATACACAAACGATTCCCACGTCTGGTGCGTGCACACAAACACTACATGCCAGAGGGAGTCACTCTTCCCTTTTAGAAGAGGGTGCATGTGTTTAAAGGTAGACAAAGTACTTTCTAAAGCTGTCTACTCCAAAGCAAGTCATGAATTGATCATTCAGATCAAAGCAGCCTGAAGACCTGTCTGGTGGTACTCCAGCTGTGGGGAACGCTTCGTGATCTGCTGCAGTGAGAGACCAAAAGATGCTCATCTGCAGCCATTTCCAGATGCTCTTTGAATTTGTTGGTTATTACAGGTTCATGCTCAAGAACTTTGCAGACATAAAGTAATTACTGGAAGCTAATTTCATTAAAGGTTCCTAGAGTTAGCAAAGACACTTGTCCACTAAACAAAAAATGTGTTCAGCTATTAGCAGTTAGCGAACTAGCATAAGTGTGCCCACCACTGTCCATTAGCAGGGCGGCTTGTTTCTCCCTCCGTTTCTGGAAGTTTGATTGTTGCTTTAAAACAAGTCAAGAGAAACAACATCTGGATTTGTTTACTTTTCCATTTGCACCAAACCCATTTTAAACTGGTACTGAACTGTGACTTGTGTGTACTGTTACTGAATACAATACAAGGTCATGGCTCTTTATTGTCGTCCTCACCACATGTGGTGCATGAGGTGGAATGAAATGGTGTGCACAGGTTCCAGTTACATCCAACAAAGTATAAAATGTAAAGAAAAACCGTGATCAGATCTACAGCAGCACGAACATGAGTCTGTGTGAGCAGATGAGGACGAATGAACACAGCAGCATGAGATCAGCAGCATGAGATCAGCAGCACATATCAACAATCAAGTGGCATTACAGTGATTGTTTGTACTTACATTTATTTTTGCTGTTTAAAAGTATCACCTTGTCAGTTTGTTTACTGTTGTTAGATGAAACATATTGTAAAATAATTTTGGTGCATCACTTCTTGGGCCTTGAATATTTAACAGAACAGGCTCGGCTGTGTAAACATTTTTGACTTCCTCTGTGTTCAAATAACATTTGACCGTGTTTGTCGCCCTCTAGTGGTGGCCATCTATGACTACACAGCAGACAAGGAGGACGAGTTGTCCTTCCAGGAGGGAGCCATCATCTATGTGGTCAAGAAGAACGAGGACGGGTGGTTTGAAGGAGTGATGAACGCCACCACCGGCCTCTTCCCCGGAAACTACGTGGAGTCCATCATGCACTACACCGACTGACGAACTGCTGCACTTTGTGGTCCATCATGCACTACACCGACTGACGAACTGCTGTAGTTTGTGGTCCATCATGCACTACACCGACTGACGAACTGCTGCACTTTGTGCTCAGGCTCTTTGTTTGCTCGGGTCTGAACGTGAACAGAAAGGATTGACCCACTTTGGTTTCTTCCTCCCATACATTTGCACAAACAACTAACAAGTTAGGAATATTTATTGGACTAGAGTTTTAAGGTCTTTTATTTTGTTGTTTATGGCCCAAGTTATGATGTTAAAACGTTTGGTGCACTGCACTTCTACTGCTGACAAACTGAAGTGTTTCAAATGTTTTAAAATGACCAATTTGTTACGATGGTCTGAGTTCAAATGGAATTTAAAAACAAGTGCTGCCACCGTGGGGTTATTAGAACCATAAACGCATTTAGAACGCTCTGTTTTGGAGATTTGATGCTGTGGAACTAGTCTAAAGGTTGTTTTTAATATACCTGTCATCCCTACAGATGCTTTTTTAAACAGATGTTTTGTTCTTTGCAGTTTTATTTTTGTCAGAGATTTAAAATAAATACAGCTGTGCAGAAACAGCAATATGTGAAGAACTAATACACAAGATTCACTCACAAACACGAGTAGAGCAGCTCTGACCGTCTTCATACAGCAGAGGGCACATGGTGCTTTTCTACCAACAACTGTCCTCTGATCACAATGAAATCACACTTTGTTAGTTTTATTTTACATCAGGTTCATTCTGATGAGAGGCTGCATACTAACTCACTCTGAAACAACTCTGATTTTTAAAAAGACAAACAAGCTCAAGATGTGACAGATGTCCAAAGGTTTTCCATGTCTTATTTAATTTTCTTTCATAACACAGATTAGTTCAAATGGTAAATGCACTGCACTTATACAGCACCTTTCTATCTTATGGAGACACTCAAAGCTCTTTACACAACAATCTGTGTCCTCATTGATCCATTCACACAGCTCTATACTAGATCTCTACAATAATCTGTGTCCTCATTGATCCATTCACACAGCTCTATACTAGATCTCTACAAAGATGCTTGAACAAATCATTCTAAAGAGACTAATCAGAGCTTTAAATCACATTCAGACACTGATGGGACACACATCAGAGGCTGTGAGGGGTTCAGTGTCTTGCCCAGGGACACTTCAACATGTGACTGCTGGTGGATTTGAACCCCCAACTCTTGCATTGGAGGACGACTGCTCTAACTACTCAGCCACAGCCGCCCCAATTCAGAAGATAAATCTGTTTAAAGAAAAACAATCTACTTTCAAATGATTCAGAGGTTTGAAATCAACTTTTTCTTCATTTGTACAGAAAGAAACTAGATTTCTCATGTGTGTGTGCGTGCGTGTGTGCGTGCGTGTCTTTGCCTTAAGGCGTGAACTCGTCTGTTTCTTTCCCGAGCCTTCTTTTATTTTGACAGTACAAACTGAAGCAGGACGTGAACAGACAGCGTCTCTAAAGCTTTAACGTGACTGGAAGAGGCCGTCCTGCTGTACTAAAGTTCTTTTGTTGTATTTTTATTTGTATTATTTGAATCTTATGAAAGTATCCACTAATCAGGGATGTATCTCCCCCGGTATGAGTGATGTAATCGGGGGCTCTTTCCAGACCCTTGTTTATTATAAAGGTCAGTTTTTGTAAGAGTCTTGTTGCAAACATGGCCCAACACTGGACCTGTGTCATGTATGTTCTGTTAAATGTTGATTAGTTGAGAGCAAACACCCCTGAACGTTTCTCCATCTGGCTTTGAGCCTTCCTTCACTCTTGCTTTAGTCTTGTGTCCTGGACTGAAGTGGACCTGCACTCATGGCCAGGTGGAGGTTCTGAGCTTGCTCCAGTTTACGCTGTGCTTGCCTGCATGCCTCATAAAGATTTTTATTCTCATCGTGTTTATTCTGTATGTAGTTTTATCATGTCGTTGCTTTGATGGTCTTTTGTTCTGTGAATGTTCCCGTCAGTTTGTGTTGGGGCCTTTAACAGAAGCCCCGAGTGCTGGGACGGCTCAGAGTCAAGATGGACGCAGGTCCTGCAGTGCCATACAGTGTGTGACGACGTGAGCCTGAGCTGAAACTCTTTACAGGAACTAAACTATGAACAGAAATTTATTTGATTTAAAGAAAATACCAAAATATTGGGGAATAAAAAATTCTTGTAAAAACATGTTTGACTGGTTATAAGAATGAAAGACAACGAGGAGACGTATGGAGTTAGAGTTCGAGAGGACATGGAGGTAGATGAGTGAGGACAGAGAGGCGGAGGAGGACGACTCGCTGTGGAGACCCTGAAGAGGAATCATCTGAAAGAAGACCTGGTTATAAGAATATCATTATGCATAAACAATAAACACCTTCATTACTGTTTGACAACATTTCCTCCATTTCTGTCATCATGTTTAATTAAAACAATCGTACACCTCATTGAGGAAGAGTGTGAGGACTTGGTGGCAGTACTTTGTATAGTGTAAACACTCGATCTGATCAACCTGGGGTTGCATTTCCTCTTGCGTCCACTTCCTGGAGTAGCCCCATAAACCTTGTGTGTGCGTGCGTGTTTTTTTACAGCTCAGACTGAGTTTGTTTAATAAAAGCTGAGATGCGAGCAGAGATTCATCAGGTTTTTATTCATAAACTTCCTGATGAAATGACGTGTTTCAGGTGTTTCTGCCTTCTTGCTGCTTGTCGTCTGGTTTAGTTGAAACGTGCAGACTCCCTTTAAAAAGTGTTCACTGAGAGATCACTGACATGAGCTCGTTAACAATTCTTCTACGTATTTACCCGTCTAAAGGTTTCTCCTCTGGATCCACAGAAAAATACTAAATTATTTCAATGCAAAATGTTTAACATTTAACTTAACAAAAAACAATTATTTCTTTTGTATTTTGACTGAGATTTGTTTGTTACTGAAAAGCAATGTATAGAAATGTTTCTGGATTAAAGTGCTTTCACGTGGTTGTGCTTTTGTTCTGTAAGTAAAACATGGAACGGATCAGTTGTTTTTCACAACTCCATTTCAACATGAGAGGTTTTAGATGAGTTTTAGTTTTCTTTCAAATTGCCTCGTATTTTTATTCTTTCTGCTGTGGTCCGTGCTTTTAAAAAGATATAATTCGAAGCATATTGCTGTTTTGTAAAACAAAAAGTGAAACTGTTGAATAAATGTTTTAACAGCCTTTGTGTTCTCTGCTTATTTATTGGATGGTTTGTTTTGACTCGAGTCTTATTTTAACCGTTTCTAGAAAGTTTACTGTTAAGAGTTGGAAAATAAGGCGTAAGGTGAAATTAGTCTGATAGAAGTTAATAACCAGGTGCTGGTCATAAAATTAGAATATCATGAAAAAGTTGATTCATTTCAGTAATTCCATTCAAAAAGTGAAACTTGTATATTCTATTCATTCATTACACAGACTGATATATTTCAAATATTTATTTTAATGTTGATGATTATAACTGACAACAATGAAATCCCAAATTCAGCATCTCATAAAATTAGAATATTACTTAAGTCCAATAAAAAAGGGATTTTTAGAAATGTTAGCCAACTGAAAAGTATGAACATGAAAAGTATGAGCAAGTACAGTACTCAGTACTTAGTTGTTGCTCCTTTTGCCTGGATTACTGCAGCAATGCGTCGTGGCATGGAGTGGATCAGTCTGTGTCTCTGCTCAGGTGTTCTGAGAGCCCAGCTTGCTCTGATCGTGGCCTTCAGCTCTTCTGAATTGTTGGGTCTGGTGAATCACATCTTCCTCTTCACAATTACCCATAGCTTTTCTATGGGGTTAACGTCATGCGAGTTTACTGGCCAAGAACAGGGATACCATGGTCCTTAAACCAGTATAGGAGGCTTTGGCACTGTGTGCCAAGTCCTGTTGGAAAATGAAATCTGCATCTCCATAAAGTTGGTCGGCAGCAAGAAGCATGAAGTCTCTAAAACTTCCTGGTAGACGACTGCATTGACCTTGGACCTCAGAAAACACAGTGGACCAACACCAGGAAACGACATGGCACCCCAAACCATCACTGACTGTGAAAACTTGACACGGGACCTCAAGCAACGTGGATTCTGTGCCTCTCCTCTTTTCCTTCAGACTCTGAGACCTTGATTTACAAAAGAAATACAAAATGTACTTTAATCAGAGAACATAACTTTGGACCAGACAGCAGCAGTCCCAGGAGAGACGCATATGACGCTGTCTCTTGTTCAAGAGTGGCTTGACACAAGAAATGTGACAACTGAACCCCATGTCTTGCATATGTCTGTGCGTGGTGGTTCTTGAAGCATTGACTCCAGCTGCAGTCCACGCTTTGTGAATCTCCCCCACAATTTGGAATGGGTTGCGTTTCACTATCCTCTCCAGGATGCTGTTATCCATATTGCTTGTACACTTTATCTACCACATTGTTTCCTTCCCTTCGTCTCTGTTAATGTGCTTGGACACAAAGCTCTGTGAACAGTCAGCCTCTTTAGAAATGATCTTTTGTCTTGTCCTCCTTGTGCAAGGTGTCAATGATCGTCTTTTGGACAACTGTCAAGTCAGCAGTCTGCCCAATGACTGTGTAACCTACAGAACAAAACTAAGAGACCATTTAAAGGCCTTTACAGGTGTTTTGAGTTAATTAGCTGATTAGACTGTGACACCAGGTGTTTTCAATATTGAACCTTTTCACAATATTCTAATTATCTGAGATTAAAAGTTGTCAGTTAGAATCCATCCATCCATTTTCTTCCGCTTATCCAGGGTCGGGTCGCGGGGGTAGCAGCCTAAGTACGGAGGCCCAGACTTCCATCTCCCCAGCCACTTGGTCCAGCTCCTCCGGGGGAATCCCAAGGCGTTCCCAGGCCATTTGAGAAACATAGTCCCTCCAGCGTGTCCTGGGTCTTCCTCTGGGTCTCCTTCCGGTGGGATGTGTTCGGAACACCTCACCAGGGAGACGTCCAGGAGGCATCCTAAACAGATGCCCAAGCCACCTCA